CCCCCCAGGCTAAGGATATACTCAGGAACCAGGGATATACCCCCGGCAAAGGCTTGGGCAATGCCCTACAGGGTCGGACATCCCCAATACCAGTAGAAAACAAAAAAGGTAGGCAAGGATTGGGTTTTTCTTAGGGGCCGCTGAAGAAGCTCTCCTACCCACTTCGATCAAAATCACCTGGAAATCAAATGATCCGGTTTGGGTACCTCAGTGGCCCCTGCCTAAGGAGAAGCTATTAGCCTTGTCAGAAATAGTCAGTACACAACTCAGATTAGGACATATTAAGCCATCAACCTCCCCATGGAACACCCCCATTTTTATAATTAAGAAAAAGTCTGGCAAGTGGAGGCTGCTCCATGATCTAAGGGCGGTCAACGCGCAGATGCAGTCCCTGGGGGCGGTCCAGAGGGGGCTGCCAGCTCTCTCAGCCATCCCTCAGTCCTGGCCAGTTTATGTTATAGACCTTAGAGACTGTTTCTTCTCAATTCCCCTGCACCCAGAGGACACTCATAGGTTTGCCTTTACTTTGCCCACCATTAACCAAGAAAGCCCTGATCTCAGATACGAGTGGGTAACGTTGCCCCAAGGCATGGCCAACAGTCCCACTATGTGTCAGATTTACCTTGATTCCCTACTGGCCCCCCTACGAAAATCCTTTCCCAAGATAAGATGTATGCATTACATGGACGACCTTTTGCTCAGCGGCAGGGACCCAGACATGCTAAATAATATGCTCAGCCAGTTGGTCGAGGCCCTGAGACAAGCTAATCTACATGTTGCCCCCGACAAGATTCAGGGAGGAGAAATGGTGACCTACTTAGGCGCGAGAATCTCCCCTATGCTAGTCTCTCCGCAGAAGGTCACCATTAGGACGGATGGCGTTAGGACCCTAAATGACATGCAAAAGCTATTGGGAGACATTAATTGGATTAGGCCATATTTACATATACCAAATTCAGATCTCAAACCCCTGTTCGACCTTCTGAAGGGAGACCCAGATATAGCCTCCCACAGGAGGCTCACTCCTGAGGCAAGAGCTGCCTTACAGAGAGTAGAGGAAGCCTTAGGTGGGGCTACCTTACACAGAATTGAACCAGGGCGACCCTTTGATGTCTGTTTGCTACAGACTAGTCTACAGCCTACAGCGGTGATTTGGCAGAAAGGACCACTACTGTGGATACACCCTAAGGTCTCACCTGCAAAAGTCATAGAGCATTACCCGGAGGCAGTCGCTTCATTGGCCCTTGAAGCGCATGATAGAGCTGTCCAACATTTTGGCTCAGGACCACAAGCCATCCGAGTACCCTATACCGCCAGCCAGATCAAGACCCTGGCTGCCTGCATAGATACTTGGGCCATTCTGAGATGTGTTTTCCATGGGGATATAAACAATCAATACCCTAAAGACCCTATCTTGTCATTTGTCACTCAGCACCCTATAATTTTTCCAAAGGTTACTGCCTCTGAGCCATTAGTCCCAGCAACTACAATATACACAGATGGCTCTAAGACGGGGATAGGCGCCTATGTGATCCTAGGCAAGCCCCCGGTTACCATACAATTTGAACCAGATCAGCCTCAGGTGGTGGAACTGCAGATCGTTAAAATGATTCTTGAACGGTTCTCAGAGGCCATTAACATTGTCTCCGATTCTAGGTATGTGGTCAATGCTATGCAAGTGCTTGAGACTGCCGGTTTAATTAGATCCACTTCCACAGTGGCTGGACTGTTCCTGTCTATCCAGACATTGCTTCAAAACAGACACCATAAGGTCTTCACCACCCACATAAGAGCACATACATCCCTGCCAGGGCCTATGGCACAGGGGAATGCGGCTGCTGACACTGCCACTCGCCCGTTATGGATTTTTACCTTACTAACACCAATCGAGCGAGCCCGTGCCTTCCATGATAAATTTCATGTTAATGCCAGGACACTAGCAAACCATTTCCATGTTTCTAGAGCAGATGCACGAGATATCGTGCGACTATGTGACTCCTGTGCCACATACAAACCTGCCATACCGATGGGAGTAAACCCTCGAGGTTTGATCCCTGGTGATGTTTGGCAGATGGACATCACACATATACAGGAGTTTGGGACTCTTAAATATGTTCATGTTTCCACAGACACCTGTTCTCGCGTCATATTTGCAACAGCAGAAACAGGTGAAAAAGTGTCTAATGTGATCAATCATTGCCTGGCGGCTTGGGCCGCATGGGGCAAACCAAAAATATTAAAAACTGATAATGGACCAGCCTATATAGGCAAAGCCTTCAATGAGTTCTGCAAAATGATGGAGGTTCAATTAAAACATGGTATCCCATACAATCCCCAAGGTCAAGGAATCATTGAGAGGGCTCATAGAAGCCTCAAAGAAATTTTACAAAAACAAAAAGGGGGAGTAGGCCAAGGCCTGGCCCCAAAGGCACGATTATCCATGGCACTATTCACACACAATTTTTTAAATTTAAATAATGATAATCGCTCCCCAGCTGTGGAGCACTGCAACCCTTCCCCCAACCATAAAGGGTGGGTGAAGTGGAAAGATGTCCTGACAGGACAATGGATGGGCCCGGATCCGGTAATCAGCTGGAACCGAGGCGCGGTTTGTGTTTTCCCACAGGAATCGGGACGAGAACCACTGTGGATACCGGAGAGACTGACACGGGCAACAAAGCCCTCGACTGAAGATCAGACCTGCCCTACTGGAGATCCATCACAGACCAACCAATAAGATAAATAAAAATAGCGGTAGCCCAAAATGGACAAAAAGATCCTCAGGCATATGCATGGCTCGCTCGCCTAGCCTACGACCGAGTCTAGGGACGGTGAGCTTCCCACACTCCTCCTCTAAAAAATTATGATATAGCAGGGTAGATGAGTCAATGACGGGTAAGAGCGTGCCTCCCCAGCATGACTCGACCTAAGCCAGGCCCTACCCCATCCTGCACGTAAGCCGCTGGACTGTTAGATGCTGCCCAGGTCTAAATTTCTCTCCGAGGGGATTTCTTTACGGAGAGGAAATGAGTGCAAGCTTGTGTGCATCCAGGTTCCGTCCAGTTTGTGCCTGGCCCTAGAAAAAGGACGAGGGCCTCAGGGCCTTGGCAGACCATGGGACGGCCGACCAGGGTCTAAGCCAAGGACCTACGGTGGGCCTACGCATAGGGCATAAGCCTCTGCACCCAGTCCAGGAAGGGCTACGATGCGCACATTCATAAAAAATAAAAAAGGGGGAGATGTTGGGAGCCGCAGCCCCGAGCCCGGTCGCCTCACTTGGCGGACGTGAGGCCTGTAGTAAAGAGTGAGGCCTGAGGTAGATTACCCCTCCCATCGAATATGTTAGTTTCCTGCTTACCGCGTAAACAACCCGCTCAACAATATAGTCTGCCTGGCAACTGATGATGTTAGCCAATCAGCTTGCCTTGCTTACTTTAACATGATTGGACACTGTACCCGTATATATACCGGTGCCACCCCTGGGCGGAAGAAGAAGCCAGATAGAAGCCCGGAAGTAGAAGCCCAAAAGGAGCCGCGGAGAGCGGACCGGTAGAGGCTTTGGGGCAGGCTGAAGCACAAAAGGAGCCGCGGGGAGCAGACCAAAGGAGGCTTCAGCTGGGAGAACCCAGGGCAGGCTGTACGGAGAAGGAAAATAAAAAGAAAAGGTTGTCCACTACCAGACTTTGTCGTGTGTCCTTCCTGCCGGCCGGGAGCGGACATCGACAATTAAGTATTTTAAGAAAAACAGTATATAAATAATGCACTGTGTAGATTTTAAGACTTAAAAATGCCTAAAATTAACTTTCTTTTTTGCTTGTAAATATTCACATCTTTTATTTCAAATGCATGGGTAAAAGCATTTAAGTGCTTATGAAGTTACTGTATATCAGGCTGGTTTTATTTGGTTCCTTGATTGTTAACATTTACTTGTGTTAACAAAGACATTCTTAAAGGAATAATATTTCAAAGTTTGGAGGGTATAAATTCCCAAAATGATAAAATTTTCCATACATTTTAATTTCTAGCATACATGTTAAATCCAATTACACCTTGTGAGAACAACTACACTTCGTTCTATTCAAACTTGTAAAAACAAGCTCTCTCAAAGGACCCTAAGTGAACTGCTATGTGAAGGGAAGCTTCCACAGAGGCTGGCTTTGGTTTCACACATTTATTTGTTGTTTATAGGGCACACAGTAGTCACTGGGTCCCGAGATAGATAAAGAACAAAGCTCTGTTACTGCTTCTAATTACCATAACATCATTAAAAAACAGTAGGAAAGTAAGCAAAATTACGTTCTATGTGTGTAGGAATTTAAGTCTTAATACTTGAATGTTTTTTTCTCTATGTTGAGCATATTTGTTTAAAACAAATAGTTTTCCATAGATCATAGTAGAGTTACTTTTAGGCTAGTAAAAACAAAGTGCATTTAAAATATTTGGGGGAAAGAATGGGAACTGATATCAGTAAAGAATGGTGGGAGAGAAGGTAATCAATAAAAATGTTAGGCAGAATCATGAAACCTGTGAGAAGCTAGAATGGGTGAAATATAATCACGTGAATTAATGTTAAACTGTGTTAATGTAGAGAAAAGTAAATGAGACTATTTCTCAAGTCACCCAAATTTAAGAGGGAAAAAACTCCTCTCCCTCTTCCTCCTTACTTTCATATACTCCCTCCTTGTCTGTGTCTGTCTCTCCTTCTCTCTCTCCCCCATTTCTCTCTCTCTCATAGTAATCCAGATCCAACAACATAATTAGACCAGATGACAAGGATTAAAGGATGCAAGGATTATTCCACAGAATAATCACAATTCACTAAAATATAATCATTTATATAAGAAGTTACATAGGATTTGTTTTTCCATTGAGAGGCATTGTGCAGCTGTAGACAAAAGGACACTCATAGAAGTCCTTCAGGCTGTATTCCTGCATCTGTTTCCTGGTACACTATAAGCAGCCACTGCATCTGGACAGAGCTTCAGAGAGAAGAAGGAACAATGTCCAATCAAACGAGAGTGACTCAGTTCATTCTCAGGGGCTTTTCAGATGCCCGGGAATTGAGATTTGTAGTGACCTCATTTTTCTTGTTTTTCTACTTATTTGGCCTCCTGGGAAACATCTCCATTAGCACAGCTGTATTTAGAGAAAGCTGTCTCCACTCCCCCATGTACTTCTTCCTGAAGAATCTCTCTTTCCTGGACACATGCTACACCTCGGTCACCATCCCCAGGCTCTGGTCATTTCCCTCCTGGGCTCTGAGTACATCTCCTATCTTGAGTGTGTGGCTCAGCTCTATGTGTTCATCACCCTGTCTTCCACTGAGTCCTTTCTGCTCACAGCCATGGCATATGACCTATGCTTGGCCATCCTCAAACCCCTGCTCTATGGGACCATCATGAATGAGAGGCTTTCCTCTGAACTGGTCGCCATGGCCTGGGTGAGTGGGGCCATCTTCTCAGCCTTCCATACATTCAACACCTTCTCCCTGCCCTTCTGCGGGCCCAACCTTGTGGAGCACTTCTTCTGTGACATCCCCCACATCATGTGCCTCACCTGTGCTGATTACCACCTCAATGAGGAGGTGGGCTTCACTGTGAGCATCTGTGTTGTCATGAGCTCCTTTGCCCTCACAGTGCTCTCCTATGCCTGGATCATCTCTGCAATCGTGCGGATTAAGGCTGGGGAAGGAAGGTGGAAAGCCTTCTCCACCTGCTCCTCACACCTAACTACAGTTATTTTGTTTTATGGAACTGGAAGTTTCATGTACCTAAGACCGGCCTCTCAATACTCCCCAACCCAAGGCCACCTGGCATCTATTTTTTACTCCATCCTCACCCCTACATTGAATCCTGTTATCTATTGTCTGAGGAACAAAGACATGAAGGTGGCCCTGCAGAAGCTGTATTGTCCAGGACGGCACATGCTGTGAGCTCCTCAGAAGCTCCCTGTCTGGTTACTGAAGCTGAGCATCACTCCATCCTTTTTATCCTTTCTTTGCTGTTTACAGTTGACATGGGAAACACCAGGTATCCCCCTGTGTTGCTGTAGCATTCCTTCACTTCTCACTAATCTTTCTCAGCAGCAATGTGCTATACTCCTCTAACACAGAAGTGCATCAGCACTGACATTTACCCAGACAGTACCATAAATGTCTTTGTTTAAAGAATTATTCTTGTACTCCTGGTATCTGTGACAATTTAAATTTTTGTTGAGCTGTACTGAATAGAGTACTGTCACATCTCTATCTTCATTCTCATGTAGCAGCCCATACTTTTGAATTTCTGACCCTATTTTCACCTTGTTTTCCTGAATATACTATAACTATTACATTTGTAAAAAGTTTTAAAATCTACTTATTACTTTTCCTCAATGTCAAACTGACTTACATTCTCTGTTTCAGTTTTTGGACCATTATTTCCTCCAGGCTAAAAATTTATAAGCCTTTTTATTACTGACTTTCATCATTCTAAATATCATTATATAACAGCAACGTTCTGATCAAGATCCAAGGGGCACTGGGGTTTGGAGGCAAGGATAGGATTTATTTGTGCTGGTGGCCACCACTGGGATCATTGGCAAAGAATTCGGAACTCAAAGGCTCTGACAGGAAGGTTTTCATGTGGTAGCAATGTGGAAGTACAGCAGCAGAGTGCTTGACACTTGGGGACTGATTCTTACAGTGTGCATCATGGTGACCAGCAATGCATTATAGTGTCTAGCCATTTCTGGGAAATAGAAGCAACAGGAAACAGTAACAGGAACTGGGGTAAACTGGAGGTTACTTGGGCAAAAACAGCTACTAGAAACTGCAGTATACTGGCTGGGAAGGTACTTTCTGTTATACATGAATTCCTAGTCAGATCTCTTGTGGTATGTGGTACTGTTTGATGCAGGCTAGGGATGGACTTTCACAATCAGAGTGGTTGATGACTCAAATTCAGGGAAAGTGAATCTGTAGAATTTCTGGGTTGGTTTCATCTGTGTATGTACTCATCAATCACCATTGTTTTCTTGAGAAACTATAACAGCAAGCAGGGAGTATGGTTGTGGAGCTGGAAAGGAGAAACAGACTATTCCAGGAAGAAAGTAATGGGAACTTGACCAAATCTGTTGCTAAAGACTCCCTCAAAATAGTGTGAGTTCTTAAATCTTTATGGCAATCAAGTCCAACTGAGGTAGTCTTTTTATCCTGTCTCAAAATCTTTCCAGTTAAAAGCAAAAAGGGATTGGCCTATGAGAGCAGAAAAAGGCACCAGTTAAGTGAGGACATGTAACACTAGGTGGCATCTGGAGGTAGCAGTCCAAGAAGGGTGTATGGGCTGGGAACTGCAGAGTGTAAGGTGATGGCTGTGTTACTGGTGGCATCAAGATCTTGCACTGGCTGGTAATCCCCATTGGGGGTTTTCACCAGAAAGACAGGAATGTTCCAAGGTGATTGACAATCTACCAGGATCCAGAACACTTGTAGGTGGCTGCTGCCACCTAGACACCTGTTTGTGCTTTACATGACATAGGATATTATCTAATGTGTGTCAAGTGGAAGGGTTTCCTTGAATGCAGAACTGTTACCTCTGCATTATTTAAATCAGACCCTGTATCCATGTAGTGATATTCACAGAGCTGACTATGCTATTTCATTCTCCTTTCAATTGGCTCTAAGCTACGCAAATAAGGTGAACTAAGGTGCTGATATGCAATCTTTAAGGCCAGCTGACAATTTCCTGTTTCCTTGCTTTATGTATCCTGTAAAATGGTTGAACACAGTGGGATGGCAGAGCCAGATAGCTCCAGGAATGTCAGCTGGGTACAAGCCCCAAAATAAGAGCCTATGACTTCCCAGGGTACAAGTTTACATATCAGAACCTGAAGCAAGAGCCTCCTAAATTCATCCCTATGCTATGCCAGTGGAGACAGGCAGAGTGGTCTTTTTGCATATCCTTCTTCCTGCACATTGCAAAGCTGCTTGCTCTCGGCCTAGTTAGCTCAGTGGCATCGCTCACATAATTCCCACCATCCTTACTGTCACTCATCCTGGAACCGCTCCCTTCTTCACAAGATGATAAATTCTGGGAAAGGCATTGAATCAAGGCCTTTGTCTGTATACCCTCACTTGGATTGGATTGGAACCCCTTGGTTGCTCATAACTTTGAATGTGTCTTAGTGTCTTTACTCTTGCTGTGGGTTGCATTGGAAGTGGAAGATTGGAATCAACTCATTGGAATTTGAATAACATTTCTATGGTATTATAAATATAACTTTACTGTTGGTGAGGTAGACCAGAAAAGGAAAGACAATATTTGTATTACAATAATAATATCTGTATTACAATAGTCATAAGTAATGGAGGTCACAATGGGGTGGACACAAAATGTGGGAGATATTTTGCAATCTATAATTTATAAATATGATTTTTAAAAACTAGAAAGACGTTAGTATTCATAAGGTGAATGAATTAGGATAGAATGAGTCACTGCTGCTTTGAAAGAAAGACAAAAAGAAATCTCCTCAGTCATTTCCCTTTCTAATTCCTCTGCTGGTTTTGCACAACATGTGGTCTTCCTTCTAATATTCCTCACCAGGCATCAAACATAAATTCCTACATGTTTCAGGATAAGCTGTCCTCGAAGCACTTTCCCTTCAATATTTTTCTAGAATCCATATTCTGAAATCTTAACAGATGGTGTCTTCCTTGATCCCCAAATTTCACTTGTAAAACTTTGATTGCAAAACACAATGTTTAGGTCTTGTTGCTCTCTAAGTGTCAAATTTCCCCACTAAATCATTCATTCACTTATTCATTCAAGTATTTGTCAAGTAATTTTCAACTACCTGGTATGTCTCCATATCCTGAGGTCTAAAATACACAAAATGAACACGGTATTTATTCTTCTTAATTTTACTGATAAGTATTTCAATTGCAAAAACAATACAAATGGAAAACGGGAATGTAGACTATGTAAAAAAGTTAAAAATACGTATGTAGATTGTCAAAGATAGAGAAGAGATAAAACACAAAAGTAACGGAAATTAATACTAGACCTTGATATGCCAGTTTCATTTTATCAATGGTGAGAGAAGACAAAAAGACAAAAGGAGATCAAATTTTATGTGCAAGTATAACAGCATTAAAACCAAGATCATGTCATAGAAAATAATACCAACTTCAGAAAGTACATAAGTAGCCATACTGGGAAGGAAAGTTGAGAGAAATAAAAGAAATAAAATTGTATGAGGTTTCATACATGCCTGTATATATAGCCATAGAATGAACAGTAGGGAACTTGGAACAAGAGTGGAACAAATTCTTCCAACGCATTGCTATTCCCTACGGAAGAAAATGGCATAGAACAGTAGCCCTTGTGCACCCCTCCCTCAGGGACACATCATGCTCCCAATGTCTGATGAGTTTCAGCCAAACCACACTCCCACCTTGAACTCTGCACAGTGCTCACCCTGCTCAGGTGCGGCTTCTGAACATTAACAGGCCCCAGTCGATGTCAAAGATGCAATGTGCTGAAGAAACCCTCCACACTTAGGTAGATACACAGGATGAAGTCATGTTTTGCATGTAAATCAGAGTAATCTACTACAGTAAGTAAAATCCACTGTAGTTCATCAATGGCTAATATTATAGATCTACTTTATTGATAAAAGGCTTATCAAAAAGGATCGAGCTAGGATTGCACAAAGAAAGAGTCGTATTTGAAATCTGGTTAATGTACTTGGTTTTAAAACTTGTGGCAAAACATTTTATGCTTAACTGATATCTCATGAACATGTCCATTAAAGGACATTGCAGACATTTAGGGAGTAAATTTCAGGTTCTTTTCCATAGTCAAGTCCTTTCTCACCCCTGAGGGTTAATAAATTGAGGGCACTCTCCTAAAAGTTTTTATATGTTGAACGCCTTTCTCGATGAAAACTTTGATGTTGAGTTCCCCAGTATCAACCTGGCTGTTACTGCAAGGGGTCTTTGCCACAAAGCTCCTACTGAGTCCTAAGGTGGTGGTTAATGTGACTCATCAGCTGGACTTGAGGAGGAGCTTCCCAGCCAATTAGTAGACACCAGGTGTGTCTGTGCATGACTGCCATGCAGACCAGAGACTGCTGAGGGGCACTCACCCCAGATGTCATGACCCCAGTGAACATACTTCCAGCCTGGATGGAACGAAAAGAGAAAGGAGAAGGAAGTCTGCCCTTTTGCCATTTTTTTTTCTTTTTTGGGGTTTCAGTCTTCGCCACTGCCTTTGTATCAGTGTCTCCAGTTCCTTCTGGCTTTCAGTGCACTTTTCAGCTTCTCAATGCAGACCTTTGTCTCTCTGAACAAATCCACATTAGACTCTGTCCTGAGCACCAGCCCTTCCACCTTGGACTGGATCCTCCAGCTTTCCAGGATGCAGGTGATCACTCTGCATCCTGCCACCCCCATTCTATACGCAGTTATTGTAAATCTTCCTGGTAAATCCATTACAACATTTGTGTTGCTATTTCATACTACATCTGACTCTTTAGTAAACCCTAAATGACACCAATTTGGTACTCAGTGGCTCGGTGGTTCTAGAGAAACAGAACTGTAAGGGGTGAATTTCTCTAACCAGTTTGGTGTTTCCTGGAGTTGGTTCTGTAATTTGATGAGATCTCAAATTGCCAAAGTTTGCCATTTTGCTAATGTGGAGAGTACTGACAGTCCATACTGTGAACAGTTCAGAGACATATGCAATGTAGAGGAACTTGATTACCCTACTTCACCACTTGTCAGATGCAAATACTTTATTGACTCTTTATACAATTCTGAAAAACTTGGAAGAACTGGAAACAATCGTGCTAGCTGGCTGCCCTTAACATATATGGATAATTTTTTAAAGGAAGTCACTGGCTCCAGACAGGCAGAAACAATCTAAAGTCTTGTAAATGTGAAGACAAAGTAAT